GGGAAGCCTTGTTCCAGGAGCTATTCATGCAAATAAATGGTTGTTAAATGGGCCTTTGCCTTGAGTAACCCCTGCTGCTGCCCTGTTAGGCACCTCTGGGGTGCTGGATGGGACCRTAGGGAGCATTGACACGAGCCAGTTTCCAGGGCTTGCTGGAAGCTGTGGTCTATCGCTGCTCTGTTGCATGGGCTTTGCGGTGACACCACAGAATTGACTGCAATGTCAGCCCCTATTTCCATTTTCTGTGGAGCAAGTGTGCCCTGTGTTGCCAGAAGGAAAGTGATGCAAGGCACGTACTCAGAACCTCTCCTGTGCCTCGCTAGGGAGCAGAATTTTCCTCAAACAGAAGCTGCTAAGCCCCAAAATGGGACAGTCTGCTGCTGAGCACCTGAGCCCAGCTTGGACATTTGGGAAGAACCCAAGGGATGGAATTAAAACTCCCAAGTTATCTTTTGTGCAATGGTCTGTAAGCTTTGCTAATGCGTCAGCTGAGAAGAAAGATGCTTCTCTGTTGTAACAGGGGAGAAAACAGGGATTTTTGCAGATATTTTTATTGTTGCTTTGCAAAGGTTCGCAGGCATCATCAGGGGACCACCTGAGTAAAGGCTGAGAAGCAAGGTTGGGTTTGATGTGCATCCCTTCCACTGTCCCTTTGGCTCACAGGAATGCTGAAACATTGCTCTTGGGAGAAAAATGCTGGGATTTGAGCCTTTGCAAATACGGCCCTAAAAATGAGCCTTCTGCAAGCGTTGCATTCCCTGGAGTTCCTGTGCGCGGCTCAACCAGGTTTGCACGACACCTGCTTGCTGTTGGGTTGCTCCAGGGAGCACAGTGAACTCTTCCTCCCCTTCTTGTCCATGTAGATTAGGTGGAATTAGCTCCAGGTTGTGTATAAAATACCACATATCCAGTGGCTGTTAATGGGGGGGGAATCTTCCTTTTTAGGTTCATTGAATTCAGTAGCTTTTTGTTCTCGTGTTTGTCTAGGCTGGAAGCATGTGTAGTTTCCTCAGGGATGCCAAATTAAGCTCTGGAAGAAAAAAAATCAGTTCTTCAGAATAGCTCATAAAAATATCTTTTGACAGGAGTACTGTTATTTAATTCTGCCTTTCAGTGCTGTGGAGCTAAATTATCAGCCAGATTATGTGCTGGGCTTCATTACGGGAGAACATTGCAGCAGTGAGCTGGAATAATGAGTGTGAAGCTTCATTCAGACGTTAGCTGAAATTCACAGGGCTTTGAAAAGTCAAATTTATCAATGAGGAAAATTGAAACATCCTTGTATAAGTATTCTTTTTTTCCAGGGCAGTTCTAAAAATTGCAGCTAAATTGGCTGAAGATGGGCATGAAATGAGTTACAAAGATGGGAGATGGGACATGCAGGTCTCACTAATGCTATCTGAGCTATTTTGATCTTGGCTGCCCTTCCTGGCAGTCACTATCTTGCGATTCTCCTCTCCAGTTCCTTATGTGAACAGCAGAATTTGGGTGTACGTGTGATGGGGTTCTTTCTGCTAGCAGTGGAAATGGAAATAACTGACGTACAGAAAATAAAATGTAAGACACATCTGAAAGACTGTGATCAATTTTGCAAGATTTAAAATCTTTCAGGAAGGAGGGAGGGGAATGTTAGTACCCTCAAACTATTCTTCTCTCTCTCAGCTCCTTAACGTTAGGTTTCACACGCCATGTAATCTCCAAGAATAAGAACAATATTCATTTCAAAAGTGCTGCTTTTGTTAACGTGAGCTCTTGGAGGGGTGAGGGAAGATGCAGGCTGGAATACTAGCATCATTTTCTGAAAAAATGCATTTCATCTTTGCAGAAAAGAATTTTGCAAGTTCTATTTCATATCAAACTTGGCTTGTGAGCAGACTAGTTTTGTTCCCATTCCTCACAGTGATATTAAGAAACCTTGGGCTGCATCCTCAGATACCTTGAGTCTTTTGTTCTCTCCCTGAGCATTTTTGATGTAATATTTGCCTTTTCCTTGATTAGTTCTGCTTTACCAAAGCACCGATTGTTCATTTGCACCTTGTGTCTCATGTAGGCCCTAATTCCCAGATCTACAGCTCCCCCGGAATACTTGATCACCTTCTAAAGCATCCTGGATAATGTTGTCCCAAGTCTGGTTACGCATCCTCGGAGCAATTTAGCAAGCCTAACTGCCTTTACAGTATTAACGTTCCCTTAATGTTGCATTCAGATGATGAATGGTTATTTTAAACAAATAAGCCCACAACCGTGAGCATACATTCCGATCCGACTAATGCCGATCTCCTCTGTATTAATATGAATGAGCAGAATTAGCACAAGAAAACTTGCAGTTTCTGTAAGTATTGGAAACCTGAGGTGGAACTGTAATGTGAAAATTTTGCCTTGGCTTGTTCAGTCGCAAAATGGCTTTTTTTTCCCAAACTATAACCAGGCATACAAACCTAGGCATAGGCTGAGAATAAGAAAAATATTTCAGAAGTTGGAACTGATTGAAGTTGGAGACATCAAAGTTAGCAAACATCTTTATTATGTCTTCCCTTTTTATTTCTTTTATTAGGAGATCTGTTTGTTGTTTCTGGGCTATCCAACTATTCCAAGGCAGTTTATGCTTAGACTCATCCAAACTGGGGATCCAGGGAGCAGAGCTGGGAGATGCTCTCCAGCTCTTGGCATTTCTGAACAAAACGCCCCAAAAGAAAAGGAATTTGGTTGATCCAAGTTTAATCATCCTCTAGTCCTTTGTCCAGACTGCTCTGGAGCCTGGTGGGTTTGAAGGTAAAAAGCCCAAATTATACTTAGATGTAAATTAAATTAAAACAGTCTTTAGATTTCTTCTTGGGCTTCTCTGCTACCTACTGTGGATCATGAAAGATGGGCAAGAGGACAAATTTCAAATATTTTTATAATTTTTCAGTTATGCTGATAACATCCCTCGCCCTTCCCCAAAGCTTTTGACAAATGGCCTCAGAAGCACTGGGTAAGGAGTCTGAGGCTGCTTTTCCTGGCACCGGCAAGAATTCTAGTTGAAATACGGCCTCCAAAAATTGATTTTTTTTTTCCAGCTAGCAAATGGCTCATTTCATTCCAGAGGTTTTCAGAGGTGTATTTTAGAGGGATGACTATCAGCGGCTGCCTGTAGAAACTGCATCTCCTTTAAGCAGGTTTGCTGGTGAAGCGATCCTGGGAAAGCATTTTGGGTGGAGACAGATGAGCATGGAAGTAGCAAGTGGATGAGGTAAAGCAGTAAAGACATAGCGATTTTTTTTCCTCTGCTGCTAATAAATTAATACAAGTGATGTCCTGTGAGGGCTTTGTGCAGTCTGGGCATGTGAGCTCATGCAACGTTAATCCCAGAGCATTTTTATGTGTCGCCAGTAAGCATCTCAGGAAGAGCAATAGCCCCGTTGGTCAGCTGTGGTCCTGCAAGGGTCTAGGCACTCAAGAGGACACGTTTCCATCAGAGCTGCAATTAAACTACTTAAAGGTGGGTAGGAGATGATCTTCCCACTGAGGAGGAGTTATTGACGCTCCAGATGCCACCTGAGAATAATCTATTATAATAATAGCCGTTATTTTCATTAACATGTTACTGGCCAATGATGGCATTTCAGGAGGATTTCAATAATCTCTCATGGCAAGCTCTAAATTTAATATGATTATTGAGACGGGAAGAACGTCCTACTTTAAATAATATCTGTTTTACTCACAAATATAAAATCTAAAGCTGCCGAAAGATAAGGAACATGCCGTGATTACCAGGTGGATTGGATTGCTCCTGGAAAGACTCTTCTCATTGGGTTTGCAGGGAGATGTTTGCTTAGCTCCTTTGATCTGCAGATGCCAACTTGTCTTGGAGTGGGAATAGCCATTTCTGGTTACTTAGGATTTCACAAAGTGTTTGATCCACAGAGGCACTGGAGCTAAATTTGCCGAGTTTCAAAGGGTTTTGATGATGCATCGCATGCAGAAGGAGACACTGCTGCTGTCCTCCAGGAGATTAGAAGAGGTATCTTAACATCATCAGGGGATTTGAGAAGAGGCCTTGCAATGTATTTGTTCCCTCGCTTATGAGGGATATTTGATGAAGTTTTTTGATTTGAGACATGAGCTCATTTACCTAATTACGGTATCGACCACTCACTTATTGTATTGGATTTGAATAGTTCTGAAATTAGACGTGCACCAAGAGCAGCCGGGTGAGAGGCAAATCTTTTGTTCCCACTCCTTTCTTGTGTGGTTCTGCAGGGAAAGATGAGAGCTTTCCGAATGCAGTGGTGCTCTCAATTAACACCCTAATTGGGTAAAATCTGAAAGTTTTGCAGCATATATCTCTGAGATATATACAGATACACATGCATATTCGAGCTCACTAGAGAAAAAGATAGTGTCTGGGTTTTGCTTTATTATTTATAGGTATCATAGAATGTTTTAATATTAAAACCTGTCTTTTTTTATAGTAAAACAAGTAAATAATGAGTGCAACGAGTACAGCACGCTGGTTTCATTGCTCTTGTGCTAACCCAGAAAGAGAGGGTTTGATCTCATCTTGCAGCATTTTTTCCAGCCATCCTTGCCCTACCTGTCTCGCGGAGGAGTAAGAGGCTGATTTTCTTTTTAACTTTGGACAATTCATAGACATTATAAGGTACTAAAATGTGTATCCTGCCTGTTTTATCAAAAAGGAAAAAAAAAAATCTGTCTTTTTTTCTAGCAGTTCAGAGCTGGCTAAAAAGTCTCGTGGATTAGAGCTGTCAGGAGACAATGTAGCTTTTTATGAAGATTTTACCAGAATGTCCTCCTGCCTTCTGCAAAGTCTCAGTGAAAACCTACTTGAAAGAAAATTGTCTAAAACTCAGACAAAAGCACAGTAATTACTATTATTTCCTGAATATTGTTTGTTTACTAAAGATAGCGTACACGCTACACAGTTGGCTACAAATGATGTCTTATTTACATTTCATATAATGATATACTTCTATTTTCTCCTATGAATAGGATAAACTTCAAGAAAAAAAAGCAAAATTATAGGATAGTGGAAAAATGATTATAATGAATCTATGCACCCTGACAACACAGATTTTCTTACTGATTTACAGAGAGGTGCATCAAGGATATAAGTAGGTAAGCTCCAACATTCACACTGCAAGAGAGTCTGATCTCTCTCAGTATATCCCCGTGTTTGCAGTCCTTTCTATACAATCTTTTCACCTATCAGTTTTTGCTAATCAAATTCTACTGCTGAAAAAAACATTTAAAAAAAAAAATGACAGTTTGGGAAGCTTGGAAATTTATTTGTTGTCCAAGTGAAACTATTCATTTCCAAGTCTGGAAAAAAACCTGACCTGACTTGACTATAATTATTTTCCTGAAAGTTCAGGTTTTATTTTTTTAATGAAAAGTAGATTGATTTTGTCAGATGCATTTTCAGTGCCCATAAATCCCCATAGCGCACAAAGTACTACTTTGGGGAAGGAATTAATGCTATAGATTTCCTACTTTCAACAGGCCTGGAGGTTATAAATATTCAAGAGTCGATTCCGGAAAGAAAACGATGATACTTTTGTAAATGAATGTCTTTTTTGAGAGGCGTTTTGGATAAAACGTTCTTTGCTCCTTCACCTCCCAGGTTTGCAGAGCAGCAGAAGCATCACAGAGGTGGTGGCTGCATTGCAGAAGGCAGCTGTGATGGTCCCTGCTGCAGAGCCAGGGCACCACATGGCCATGACCTGGACTGGTGATGGGGATCGAGTTCATCCTGTTAGTAGGTTCATCCCCTTGTCCAGAGGTGGTAAAACCTGAGGGTGCTTCTGCTTTGGGGGCAACAGAGCTGCTCATTGACCTGCTTCTCCTTGCAGCCTGTGACCCAGCTCCTGGCCTGGACCTCTTGGAAGCAACGAGGAAGAGGAGGGATGGGGGGCTCCTCCATCCATACGCTCCATCACAGGTATGTGACCAAGGCTTCTGCATCCACCATGGAATGACTCGGATGGGACTTCGATTTTGGAGTGGAACTTGGGTGGAGGAAAACACTGGCTCTTTTGGGTTGTCTTCTTCATGCTCTCTCCACCTCCCTCTACCCAAGTCTGGTGATCCACAACACCTAGGGCTTGTTCTGCTAAAGCCAAGCATTCGAGAGGTGGAAATTAATTATTTTGCAGTTACTTCTGGGTGAACTCATGAAAATTCCCTGTAACTCTGCACAGCAGTTCGGTGCTCTAAGCCTACCACCTCTTTGAGGACATCCACACTCTGCAGAGAGAATATCCAAGCCCCGTGCACCTCTGGAAGCTGCAACTAACCGAAATGCTTCGGAACCAGCTTCCAGGGGGAACGCAGAACGACTGTAGCACAAAATGAGTGTCTGCTATGGAATGAACTGCAGCAGCGTAATTGCAACAGTTTACCTCCCATTAAGCTTGTTGCTGCTGAATTAACTTTTGAAATGTGGTCATTTCATTCTCGTTAAAATCTGGCTCTTGTATGGGATGAGTTCCTGGAGCTTTGGGTCACCTGTAAAATTTTTAAATTTATTGCCTGCGTTTCTAGAAATCAGTTAGATTTTTCTTCTGTGGAAGCAAAAAAAAGAGTGGCAACTTCTTTAGTAACTAATTCTTCCTCTTGTTTCCTCCCTGAAAAGGAGTTTGCCATCAAACACGCATATGGAACTTATTGGGGGGCAGTTCTGTTGTAGTCTGGGTCCTATTTTCCTGCTGTAAATCACGAGAAACTCCTTCAAATACTAACTGATCAGTTGTTACCCGGTCTTCTCTTAGCAAAACCCCAATGGAAGGACGATTGGGCAGATTTGCAGCTGCCAAACAGTGTAGTCTCTTCCTTAAATCATTTTACTTCTCGAGCCTTGCAACACAGGATGAGAGCTGAGATGAAGATGACCTGACCATAGATTACATTGTACTTCCATCAGGCTGGGAGAACGGATCATTTGAATTCTGTAATCTATTGCTCTTGATAGCTGACCTAATTTTTAAGGGCTGAAATGACTTATAGCAGTCGCATCCCTTTGATGGAGGCAGTAAGAAGTGGTGTGTTTTGAACGGCCTCTGCCAAGAAGGTCAGTAAGTTCTTGAGGAAAAATGGTTGATGGATGCTATTAAATGTACACGGCTTCTGCCTATTGCTTATCGACGGATTGTGAGCTGAGATGATTTCCTTTCAGGCTTGAAGGTCATTTCTGAGGCACGTTTTAGCGCTAAACACAGGATTGCTTCAAATCAAATGCCTGGAGCCGAAATGAAAAATTAAGAACATTCATATGCTGCAATTACAAACACAAACAGATCAATAAAGGAAGGGCATTTAATAAGACTCACAAATGTCAGAACGTAACTTCAGGACATATCTATAGCCATGGCTGAGTAGGACTTCACTCTCCGCGTGCCTATATTGCATGACTGATAGACGGAGAGCAAAACTGAACCTCGCTGACATCCTTTATCTGTTTAAAATAATTGCTCTCCATGCTTTGCAGACTACAGCAAAGCGCGTGCATAATTAGACATCTCTCGATGAAAAGTCAATCTCCAGACTTGGATGTGTCTTTAGTTTTAACGTCCCCAATGCCACTTGGAGGTTATTGTGACCCCCCCAAAGTAAGACAACTCCAGAGCAGCTTCAACAGGGCCAGGCCCTGAGGTTCAATTATCATGCCCGGTGTAATGTCACAACTCATTACTTTCCAGAAATACAAATTTGTAATGCAATGCAGCAGGCATAAATATTTTTTTGGCATTCCACATCGGGGATTAGAGCACAATCAGAGCAGAGCTGCACTTGGAGCGGCCTTTTTGGAAACAGCGATGCAATGCCTGCTCATTAAGAAAGCAGCCAACTGCTGGCCGTGGTTGATTGCATTGCTTTGTGTCTCCGGGAGGTATTTTTCTCATCCTACAAGCTGTAAAAATAGCCCCCACGAGCCCGGGTTCAGACTTGGTGCCGCATCTGCACATTCCATTAGTGAAATGGGAAATATGCTATTACCGTATGGAAGGTAGAATAGGATACTGCTTTTTGCTTTATTACATTTATATAAAATTGTGCACCCTGCATTGCAAAACGTTAATTGGTTTGCTGTGTTTATATTTCTCCTATGCATCCAGCTATCCTGCTATATCCATTACAAGAAAAGTAGGTAATAAGCTAAGCTTAAGTCTGCTATCACCACCCTGCTTTGGGGGAATCCAGAGAGACCTTGAAGATGCTGTGGATCCTGCCTTAGTCCCAGCTATTCCCAGGAAGTTGTTGCCTCCATTTCCATCTCTTCTGTAGGTCCCTGCAGATTTGAGTGTGGGTCCAGCAGCCTTGGGCAAAGGTTGCAGCATCCCCAGGGCTTGCATAGCGCTTTCCTGCCCTTTGTGCACGTCTGCCTGTTGGATTTTCATTGCAGGGAGCAGTTGGAGCTGCAGTGTGTGATGTTCACGGGTCAGCTCACCTTTCTCTCAAGTGAGAGAGGCGGCTTGGAAAGCCCTTATCAAGAGCACTGATGCACTCGGCAAGAAGGATGGAGAAAGGTTTCCCATGTATAATGCATGCTCGCCCCAAGTATAAAGCAGGGAGCACTTTCTCAGGAGGTTAGTGATGGGGACAGGGTGGAAATTCCCACCTTGGATGCAGGTGTGTGGCACCATTTAGTAGTCAGTAAAAGGTCAGCCTTTCCTGGAGGCATTAGCAGGCTGTGATGATGTGATGCAGGGATGAGCTGGAGGGATGCCCAAGCCTATCTGTGTTTTAAGGGTAGAACCTGCAAAAAGAGTCTGCAAAGCATCTCCATATAGTATTTGTGTCCAAATGCATTCAAGACTGCTTTTGTCCATTTGCAGCAGATCTGACTTTGCTCCTATCAGTTGATATGCAGGAAATAAGGTATCCCAGGTACTTGCACTTGCTCTGTTAGGATTGCACTAGACAATTATTTAGCTGTCCTGAAAAAAACTCACTCTTTTTCCAAATAACATTTACTGAGCTGTCACTAGAGACAAAGATGTTTTCCGCTGCACGATGCTTTTAATCTCTCGGTGTGTGGGGGTGTTTGAACAGGAGCAGATGTGCAAAACCCCTGAACGGCAGGCAGACCTTTGGCTCCATCCCCTCAGGATAGGCAAGATCTGCACAAAACCCCCGGGCTCTGGGACAGGGGAGCAGATGGGCAGATGGCCTGGCTGGCTCCTGGCACTCCGGGCTGGCAACGCCGGGTGTGTGAGCGTGCAGCGATGATCCTGCCTGGCTCCCGCCAGCCCTGCTAGTAAAACGGTGCTTTTTAGGCTATATAAGCATAAAGAACATAGTAATTTGTGCTAGAGACCAAGCGCGCGTGCTCTGCCTGAGGTGTTTGGGACAGAGGATGCTGTAGAGGGGTAAATCCAGGAGGAAAGGACCCGCTTTAGGGGCATGGCTGTGCATGCTCATCGTGCACTTCTAGGCTATGTGTTTAATAACCACGAGTGGCTGCTGCTCCTCCTTCCACCAGGGAAGTGGCCTTGTTGAAAAGAGCAGCCAAATTCCTCCCACACGAGCACGTGGCTTTGTACACCACAAAGCATCAATGAGCTCTGAATTGAGTCCATTCTGCATCGGCGTTAGCGTGGCTTGAAGTCCCCATCCTGCAAGGCAATAGTGACTCAAGGCCAGGATTCCCAGAGCTGGGAAAAAGGTTGAGCTCCCTTGGACTGCTTGGATCCAGGATTTGGATCCAGTGTTGCCCTTCTGGAGGAAGGACCTGGGAGAAAACTGAAATTTGGCTCCATATACAACTTTCAAACAGTCAGACTAACATTTAGTTCAGGGCCTGAAAATGGTTCAGGTCTTGCCTTTTTATCAGGTGTCTCTTTTTACGGACTTAAAGATGCAGGGGTACTTCCCACCTCAGTGCTTAGTGTTTCCAGAAGTGACACAGCTTTTGATGAATTCACCACTTAGACATGAGTGTGCTAAGACCAATGATAGGCTGTTGCTAGCAGCTAGATTCAATTTTGCCTCCTATGAAATACAGTTTTCATAAAACGTTTTGCAACCTAGCTGAGCTGTTCCCATTTTTTTCTAATTTAGCTTTGAAAAAATGCTTTAGCTTCAGCCAGTCAATTTTCTTGCCTCTTTGACCTTTAAATTCAATGAGTTGTGTCCAAATTAGTTGCCGCAGAACAAAAACGCAATACTGGAGTTGTAGCTGCCTTGTGGAAGGAACGGGCAAAATTTTGTACAAATCTGGAGCAAAAGAACTTCCCTTAGTGGCTTCATTCCAGCTCCTGCTGCCTGAACTGAAGGCAAAAGGGACTGTTTATTGTATTGCCAAATTATAGGCAAATGCTGTATAAGTTATTTCCTTGCAGAACATCGCTCTTGGTGTATAAAAATGTTTTCATAGTAAATTGGATGTATAGCAGAGATGCTATTATGCTAAACTTCCAGGCATTTGCACTGGCATTTGAAACCCCCAGGTATTTTGAAAGGTGATGCTCCTTGCAGCCTTTGCATCTCATTGGTTTTGCACGGCACATTTGCTGTATTTCTAGGTAGTAATAAAAGTGCCCATAATGGATCAATAAGGTCATATTAGATATATGATCAAATAAGCACTAGGCAACATGAAGATGTGTTCAGACTGTAAATCATGAAAGAGAGTGCGTTTCAACTCCACTTTCATTAAAGATATTGGAAGGAAAAAATCAGATATCTACAAATCAAGAGCTGTAGATGCCCGTGAGGAGGGGGAATGAATTTTATTGCCCATGTAATTACTTGGCTGTAAGTTCTGAGGTTTAAAAACCCATTTCCCATCCCAGAAGGAGTGTTCCTGGCCCAAACCCAAGCTGATGAGCGTGATTCTGCATGTCAAGATGCTCCTGCTGCTACAGAGGAATATTTCTCTTAATGGCCTGTCCCAAAACTCTTGTGTAGCGTTGGTTGAGCAGTATCTAGCTCAACATCTCTTCCATAGAGTTATGGGACGGAGCTTTATTTTTCTGTGCAATTCCAAGTTTGAAGGCACAATGTTAATGGTCAAAGTGGCAATGCCTCATGCACAAGAATTGCATTGCCAGGGTTGTGCCAATGCCATCAGGACTTGGTCACGTCAGTGCTGGGGAAGTCCAGGTATGAGGACTCTGCACCACGCTGCTGATTTATGGAGAAGCAAAGGGAGCGTTGAACTAGCAAGATAAGGGGCGAGACGAATTTCAAATTTCCCCTCCAAAATGTAGCAATTTATTGAACACTTAAAGCTCCTAATCAAGTATATGAAACAATCTCCTTCTCCCTCTCTGTCTT